AATGAAATCTTGCCATTTGCAATGACCAGGATGGAACTAAAGGGTATTATGCTAAGCAAAATAAGTCAGAGAAAGACAATTACCATTATGATCTCACTCATATGTGGAATTTAAGAAACAAACCAGAGGAGCATAGAGAAAGGAAGGGAAAAATAAAATAAGACAAAATCAGAGAGAGAGACAAACCAAAAGAGACTCTTAACCATAGGAAACAAACTGGGGGTTGCTGGAAGGGAAGGGGGTGGGGGGAAAGGGTAACCGGGTGATGGGCATTAAGGAGGGCACGAGATGTAATAAGCAATGGGTGTTATATATAGCAGATGAATTACTGAACTTTACCTCTGAAACTAATAATACATTATATGTTAATTAATTGAATGTAAAGAAAATAAAATTTGATTTAAAAAATAAAACTTATTGCCTTCAATTTTCCTCCTTTCAGTAAAATGAATTTTAGTTATGTCTCAGATTTGTCCAATTGTCTCTTTCCCAAGGATTACTATCTTCTCTCACACTAGAGAAACAGACTGTTTCTTCACTGCTAATTTAGAACACAGTTGGCACTCAATATTTGCTGAATGAATAGGCAACTAATTGGTCACAATAAGAGAGTCTCGGTCACATTAGCTTGAATAAATGGGGTGGATTACTTTCTCCCAAAATCTTGCTGAGACTAGGTTTATTTAGACATTGTGGTTGGGAGAAGAAAGACAATTTGAAGGTTTTTGGTTTAAATGTAATATCACAGTATCACCTCTTTTCTTTCTTATTCCACACTGGTCTCTAAATTCTTCATAGAAATATGTCTTATGAAAAATAAATTTCGGGGCACCTGGGTGGCTCAGTCGTTAAGCGTCTGCCTTCGGCTCAGGTCATGATCCCAGGGTCCTGGGATTGAGCCCCGCATCGGGCTCCCTGCTCCGCGGGAAGCCTGCTTCTCTCTCTCTCCCACTCCCCCTGCTTGTGTTCCCTCTCTCGCTGTGTCTCTGTCAAATAAATAAATAAAATCTTTAAAAAATAAATAAATAAATAAATTTCAAGTTCCCAACAACTAACTTACAAACACAATATTTCGATTTAGGGACTATGTTATAAGAAAATCATAAGATCTTAGGAATTCTAAAGACCTTAAAAATTATCTATTGTTTGGGGCGTCTGGGTGGCTCCAACAATTTTGCATCCAACTCTTGGTTTCGGCTCAGGTCCTGATCACATGGCTCGTGATCGGTTCCCATGCTCAGTGGGAGTCTGCTTGGATATTCTCTCCCTCTGTCCCTTCCCCCACTTATGCACACACTCTCTCTCTCTCAAATCAATAAATAAATCTTTAAAAATATTATCTATTGTTTACTGTGTCCTACAAACCCATCCTATGGTGTGCACTGAAAGTATTTCTAGTAATAAGGAGCACACTGGCAGCCCAATTACTAAAAGTATTCAAACACAGGAAGTGTGCTACAATAGAAAAGGCAGGAGATGTGGATAGATCTGGGTTTGAGTCACAGCCCCAGCACCTGCCACCTATATGACCTTAATAAAATTATCCGTTAATAACATCCACAATTTTTCAACTCAAATCTTAACTCTCTCAACAATCCTGTGAGATAGGTATCATCATTATACTCATTTGAAACATGAGCAAACCAAGGTTTAGAGAGTTTAAGTAACCTTTTTAAGTCATATCAACATTAAGTAGTCAAGCTGGAAGTCTATCTTGGGTTCCAAGCCCATGTGTTTCATTACTTTCTACTGCTTGACTCTAGGTAGCAAAGTCCAGGACAGCAGACCAGACAAAGCTCTGTGAGTCATGGGCTGCCAAAGACCAGACCCACAGAGGGCTTAAAAAGGAGTAGTTGAAGCCTAGCATCTTGACGTTACTATTAACTGAGAATCTTTTATGTACCAAACACCATAGGAAATACTTTGCATATATTATTTCTAGTCATCACAATCCTGTGAGATGAGTTTTGTGATTAAGGCATAGAAAAGTCAAGTAGGGAGGTATATGTAAGAGAAATCTATCAGCTCAAATCTATCAGCTGGTTGGATCTTGAACTGGTCTTTATGCTCGTTCAGTAGGGTAGACTGGCTAGAAGTCAGCATCAACCCAATCAAGTCCAACACACAGTGCCACCCTTAGGTCACGGCAAATCAGAGTTGGGGGACAGAGGGAAGTTAACCCTGTACTGGGTGAGTCACCTAGGCTCCAGTATTCCCAATTTCTTTCCCACTGACCACTGATCAAATCTATGGTCCCGTAATGTCTCATAATATTGATGACCATATTCCAATCTGATCTTTTCAAGAATCTTATGAGAAAGGACAAGTTATCCTTATTTTGAAGATGAAAAAATTAAAGCATAATTGAGACTCATACTCCAGTCTTTGTATTCCAGGCTCAGAACTCATCTCACTATGCACTGCTGTCATTTATGAAAGATAATAAACAAATCAATAGATGAAATGTATTTCCTAACCTCACCTAGCTCTGTGATGGTGGGTAAGTTGTTTAATTTCTCTGAGCTCCAACTTTCTCATCCATTATAAGAAAATTATACTTGTAGATTCCTTAACACAGCACCCAGCACATAGTATCTAATAACTGCTATTTCACTTAGGAGTAATGTCACTTACACTAAAAATAAATGATAATAATAAAATATGGTCTAAAATTGCAAATCCAAGGAATTTTAACAGTTTATATAGCAGATCCTAATTACTGTTGATCATCTCTCAAGACATTCTATGGTTATAAAAGTGTAAGTATACATACATCAAATCATTATGTTGTGCACCTAAAACTAATATAATATTACACATCAATTACAGTTGACCCTTAAACAACATTGGTTTGAACGATGTGGGTCCACTTATACACAGATATTTTTTTCGACAGATACAATACTGTAAATGATTTTCTCTTCCTTATGATTTTTCTTAAAACATTTTCTTTTCTCTAGCTTATTTTATTGTAAGAATACAGTATATAATACATATAACATGCAAAATGAGTTAATCAGTTGTTTACATTATCAGTAAGGCTTCTAGTCAACAGTAGGCTATTACTAGTTAAATTTTGGGGTGGTCAAAAGTTATACACAGATTTCAACTGTGTGGGGGTCTGGCAACCCTGACCACCATGTTGTTCAATGGTCAACTGTATATCTCAATCAAAAACTATTTTTAATTTTAAAGATAAAAAGTCAAAGTCCAAGACTTTGTATATACATGCTACCTTGTTGTTACTGCTTTTTCTAGAAAATATCAGTGTTTGTACTGAAGCCTCTAGGGGATTGGTGATGACACCAGCGTCAGGAATCTCCATTGGTCTTCATTATACCTGGAAATCCTATAGTAGCTAGTGACAATGCAGAGATTTCAAGCTAAGCAGGGAATAATAAAGCAAACACATTTCACCAAGCTAGCAATCAGGAGAGGTGAAGTTTAAAGAGGTACCAACATCAATATAGCTTGTAGAGAAGCCACAGAGGTTAAATCTTGTCTTTTTGTCTCATCCTAGTGGTTCAGAGGAAGTCCAAAGTCTCAACTCCTGTTGGTAATAAAAGAGAATGCCTACTTGGAGTCATGCTATGTCCATAACTAGATGAGGTCTCATTTCCCTAAGAGGTCCTTAGGTGCCCCTGGCCCAAATCTGGTGATTTAAAAGTCAGTGACGGCAACTTGGAACCTTTGCCCTTTATCTTTACCTCCCACTAGACTTTGTGAGATGCTCAGAGACACTTTCTTCCATGATCTTTAGAGTTTCTTGAGCAAAGAATATGGCAAGATTTGTGGCAAAAGTAAAATCATATCCTTCTTGGTTTCATCAATCTTTCCCCACTTTTGGGTCAGAACAGAAAAGTATTTCAAGGATAAACTATATACAGAGACTCTGTGACAAGACTTTAAATCTTTGAATCCCCTCAATCATTTTTCCACATAAAAATTCAGGACTCAAAAATGTAAGTTATTTTGGGGTTCTAGTTAGTTGTATTTTCAGAGAGGTTTTATATGAAAATCCAAATGTAACTGAACTAACATTGGAATACGACTTTATGTTGTAAAAGCAATCTTCAACACACACAATGATTTATTCATATAATTGGAAATATGAATCAATTTGCAAAAAAAAATCATATTTTTGCATAAGTAGAAAAGTATACCTGGTCTCGTTGCTATACTGTTTCTACAGTAGAGTTGTAGATTTGCCAACCATAGTTTTCTGAAAATATGTTTCAAAATTTATACACCCAGAACCCATAATCTTTTAAAATTTGTACACATTAGTTCCATCCCCTTATATAAGTAAATATAAATACATTTGTGGATTTCCCCTAAGAGTGGCTCTCCAGAATAGTGGAGAAAAACTTCTCTTCACACCCCACCTTCTTGATATATGAAAGACTGTGCCTTTAAACTCCAAGTAATTTTTCAAAAAACCAGAAAGCTAAATAAATATCTTGCAGAGCCTTAACAAAAACAATGGAGAATTGCAAAATACATTACACTGGAAGACAGTAAAAACTGAATACAACTTTGTAAAGATAGGCTGTCCACATAACATAAAAGTTTTCAGAAGAGTTTATTTCAATATCATAGCAATGCTTCCCTAACATTTTTAAAAGAAAATTCAGGAATATTATCCACTAGAGTTAGTTCTTAAATTATTAAGTTTATTTTTTATTTTACTCTTGTAAAATATTTCAAACATGCCAAAAAGTGCATGAAAACTATGAAAGAAACAAACTGAGGTTGCTGGAGTGGTGGGGGAGGAGGGATGGGGTGGCTGGGTGATAGACATTGGGAAGGGTATGTGCTATGGTGAGCGCTGTTAATTGTGTAAGACTGTTGAATCACAGACCTGTACCTCTGAAACAAATAATACATTATATGTTAAAAAAAAGAAGAAGAAGAAGAAGATAGCAGGAAGGGAAAAATGAAGGGAGGGAAATTGGAGGGGGAGACGAACAATGAGAGACTATGGACTCTGAGAAACAAACTGAGGGTTCTAGGGGTGGGGGGGGTGGGGGGTTGTGTTAGCGTGGTGATGGGTATTAAAGAGGGCACGTTCTGCATGGAGCACTGGGTGTTATATGCAAACAATGAATCATGGAACACTACATCAAAAACTAATGATGGAATGTATGGTGATTAACATAACATAATAAAAAAAAAA